TGCCATTAAATTCTAAGTCGGTGTATTTTCAATGGCACAACATATTTCGAAACTCCATATTTCACACCCCTAATACAAAAAAGGACATGTTGAAGGATTGTTTTACGTTTATCGTGCATTTATCAAAATATAACAGTTACACTCTGGCGCAGCTTTGCTCAGCCCAATTAACAATGTCTTTACTGATATAAAAGATGACAATGATGACGATCAAAGCTATTTATACTCAACAGGTCCACTGCTAAATTTCAAGCTGTATTTATTTTAAGTCAATCTTTATGTCATTTGTCTGCAATGAAAAACGAAGTGATGACAAATGTTAACCTTGTCTAACACCAGTTTGCAGGGATGGAAGTGTTTTCATTACATTGTACACAGTTGTAATACCATCATAAGGGATAAATATTTCAATGTTAAAACTGTTAAGGATCTTTTTAATACAGTTTATTTTCATTTAATTCTTGGTTTTTAAAAGAAATTGATTTAATTAATGAATTTTGATTAATATGTTCTCTAGATAGATGTGTTTTAATGATTGGTATTTTTGATTAGTAACTTAGATTGTTAGTGGCGGTACCCTCAAAGGGGGTTAAAGTATCGTAAAATTATTGTCCTCCTGAGAGGGTACGTAAGACCAAACATACCAAATTTTTTAAACGTAGCATTTTTGTTATTTTAATTTTCGGCTAAATTTTCCTACAAAAGGCAGTGGCTGAAGGGATGGTGTAAACCAACCTAGGGTCCATGCAGGTAGCAAAGGCGCTGTAAGTCCCCATGGTCCCTGGTATGATGATATACCTTCAGTTGTTGACGTTCTATAGCCCCTTTTTACATTGTATTGTCAAAAAATGCTTTTCTACTGTTAAAGATATATGCTAGCTAGTTTTAACTCAATCTGTGATAATCTAGTGGTTTTACTGTCCTTTGTTGACAGAGATTTAATATATTATATGTATGTATTATGAATTTATAAATAGCTTTAGTCACGATATGGCTGAAATATTGCCGATGTTACTTTAAATCTTAACTCACTCACTCACTCACACAGTTGTAATACAGCTATACATGGATATTATGGTATTACATACGTCACTGTTTTGCATCATAGTTCCCAAATAAACAATGGCTGAAACATTGCCGATGTGACGTTAAATATTAACTCACTCACACACTCCAAAATAAACAAAATAACGTAACCGTTAAAAATGACAAACACCCACATTGAAGGCGATGTTTTCATGTATGCGTTGATACACACATCCTTGGTCGCAAGGATTGTTACAGGCTCACTGACTTGGTTGACACATGTCATCGTATCCCAGCTGCGTTGATTGATGTTCATACTGTTCATCCCTGGAATGTCTGGTCCAGATCCGATTATTTACAGACCGCCGCCATATAGCTGGAATATTGCTGAGGGCGGCATAAAACTTTACTCACTCACTCACTTGAACGCAACTATTACATAATAAATCTCTTTAACGTTCTGTTATATGATCCGTTACATTGTGCTGGATTATTCCCGCTGTTCTAGAAGCACCAAGATGTGTCTTCACTCCATGTCTTCACATAATAACTAGCACAACACTGCCCTTTCCGAAATCTTAATGGTGTCAGGCCGGGAAAGCCACATTTCCCAAAAAATGACTATTGCCGGGAAGGCCACCTTTCAATTACAAGGCTGTAGCCGGTAAAGCCACATTTCCAACAGATTAATTAATTAATGGATTACCGTAACCGGTAAAAGAGTGTCCCCATGTATAATATTGTTTTCACGAGAAACGAATAATCTTTCAATTACAACACTGTTTTACGGTGAATACACTGTCACATAACGCAGTCATGTAGTTAGACTGATATGTTCATCACAACCTTCGTTAATCGACCAGTGAAGATCCGGGATAGAATTGGTCTTCAGCAACCCATGCTTGCCACAAAAGGCGACTATGCTTGTCGTAAGAGGCGACTAACGGGATCGGGTGGTCAGGCTCGCTGACTTGGTTGACACATGTCATCGGTTCCCAATTGCGCAGATCGATGCTCATGCTGTTGGTCACTGGATTGTCTGGTCCAGATTCGATTATTTACAGACCGCCGCCATATATCTGGAATATTGCTGAGGGCGGCGCAAAACTTAACTCACTAACATGGGAGTCGAAAAAGACATGAGATAATTACTGAAGATCAATGCTAACCCGGGATCTTCACGGGTAAAATTAACCTGTGAAGCAAATTGGTTTAGAATATTTATCATAAATGGTTGGGTATATGACCATGGGCGGATCCAGGAATTTTGGGGCGGGGTGGGGGTGGGGTTGGAGTTGTGGGTGGGTTTTCGAACCCCACATTGGATCCCCAACGCAAATTAAATCTTCAATGTGGTCTTAAGTCATTTTCAAAGGTGGGGGGTTCGAACCCCCTGAACACACACACACCCTGGATCCGCCAATGATGACACCCTGAATACCGCGGATTCATAGCATATTAATATATTTTTAAATGTGAGTATTGCAGCAACAAAAAAAGTAGTCGCCATAAAAAAAAGTATATTGTATTCACATATGACGTCAATGTATCCGCGAATCTTACACGACATTTATATTTGCTGCACCACAATGATATCGTCGGCAGCCAGGAGCTATCGCGCTACACGTAATGACATTACACCTATCATGAAGCATGCATGCTAAAACACATGGTCTAAACTTAGATGATAACAACCGAGATTATATATTATGACGAACTGTTCAAGCTCGTCACAACAGCTCGAGGTGTGGAAAGTCAGCCTTTCCGAGGAGCGAGTTCCTTTTTTCAGAAAGTTACAAACGGTTTCTTAGAAAACACGTTGCTCTAATTATAACATAGCTGCACCTGTGGCCACTTATCGTGTCTATACAGTATATTGATTCTATGAGAATGCAAGCTGAAACACATGGTCACAACCGAGATATGGCGAACTGTCCAAGCTCGTCATAACAGCTCGACGTGTGGAAAGTCCGCTTTTCCGAGAAGCGAGATCTTTTCTCAGAAATTTTAAAGCGGTTTCTTAGAAAACACGTTGCTCTAATTATAACATAGCTGCACCCGTCACCGCCTTTCGTCTCTATACAGTATGTTGATTCTATATATATTAATAACTAAATCAACAAACACTGTTTACATACTAAATATAAGGTAAGCAATTTGAAGATCTGGATTTCTGTTATCCCTTACCAATTTCACAAACAGTAACATGTTTATTTAAACTGTATATCATACATAAAGATACGTTTCTTAGATCATCTCATGCGCTTATCTGTCAGTTGTGTCATCACTTGGTCTAATCAATACGCTGGATTTACTTCCCTGGGCCGAATAATCCTGTCTGTATTTCTGTCTGTGTCTCATTTCCAAACTTGTCATGCATAACTCATTGTAATTAACAATACCATATATCACACGTACAATTAATTCAAGTGAATTCCTGGAAACACATTTGGTCTTTTAGATAGATTTAAAGCACCTTGTTTTCCTCTTGTCTGTTTTTCGTGCTTTTAATTCCTAATATGTTTTCTCATTAATCAGGGTCATCCCAAGGGGAACTTCGGGAGATGTGCCACAAGAGTAGACTTTATGACAGCAGCAACAGATCAAACACAGTTCGTTGTCTTCTGACCAAAGCTCTTCCAGAAATCTTTGCAAAGAAGAAAATACCTCAAATAGCTGAACTTCTGGCAGTTCCAATTTCTGTGGTGCAGAATAAAGTTCTTACTAAACTCAGGGACATCCTGCTTTCAACTAAACCTGAAGACATTGCTCATTCTGATCTTCGGACAGCTGAAAAGGCTCTGTTTGAATGCTGTCTGACAAAGACAGATTTTATAGATCCTGTGTTCGTGCCTAATTTCATCTGCACGTACCTTTCGACTCTCGTCTATTTAACGGTGTTCCAAGACAGCCGTCATTCATCTTTGGATACCGTGATCAAACGGGTAAAGCAATTCATTTCACAGCAAAGCCTGGGAAGCAATATTCCTTTCGGTGACATAAGTAGTTTTGTTGCTGACATCCGAAAACGTATTGATGACGTTGTCAAAGCAGTGAAGGCAATTGGGACGAATCGGAAGCACCTTTCCACTGTGAAGAAGAAGTCCTCGCCAGTTCATTTTTCTATGGTTTTGGGTACACTTATTGAGGTAAAACAAGAACCTGAGAGTGACATTTGGTGAACTATTTTGAACACTCTTCATATTATCTTGAAGTTAAATAAATTATTAAATGTACATATTGAATAGACATAGTTGCCTTTGTGTATCAACTAGGCTAAAATTTTGTCAGCTGTAGTTTTGACGCAAGGCGAACAGACAAATACTTAATCCCAGGATTATGTTAAAATTTAGTTGTTTGACAAAGTTATACAGTGTTTCGTTATTGCTTGTCTCATTTGTGCTCCATTGACAAAAGTATGGACAGCTATATAGACTTTTTAGCACAGTGGAGTAACTTTAACGACTAGTCTGTGGTTGCAATTTTTTATTTCATCTCGTTAATGATAACTCATTATCAATTTACATTCGAGCAGTGAACTTAAGTTACCTATTATGCATCGAAATTGTTTTCACACCTTTCGTACAACAGGTGTTTCACGGCGAACCCCAGACAGCCCTTGCGGCCTTGGACACTCTTCCACTGCTACTGAAGCCAAGAAAACCCAGAGTAAGGAACGCGTTGCAAAAACCCAAACTGAACGAGAGAGTCATACAGATGGTCACATCTGGAATGGTTGCATACCAGAATGCCTTAGGTTAGTATCTATCAAATGATTATGTAAATGATGGATATGATTTAATGTTTTCTTGTATTTTTGTTATTCTTGTTTTCAAACCAGCAGTCAAAGAGCCAATATTCGTTTTGATTTCAGTAGGGTAGAAATCATTAGAACAGAGCACCGTGTGAATTTGCAAATTATGAAGCAGTATTTTACTAATAGTCAAATTACTGTAACATATTTAACAGGAGAAACAGTCGGTGAGGATATAGAGGATCGTGTCAAGTCTGCTTTCACGGCTCTTGGATTGTCACTAAAGTACTTGGACGGAAGTATGTTCGGTATGGCGAGATGTTTGCTGTTTTCACAAAATCCAGTAATCAGACAAGGTGCCATGATCCTGTGGAAAGATGCCAGTGATGAAACAACTGAAAGTTTAATGGTGACAGAAGTTCTGAAACATCTACAGCCAATCAGCACCAACCACTTGCACAAACAACCAACCAACCATTCCACAAGCAGTGCAAGTTGGAAAGTAGCTTCTACTCGAATTGGTTCAGACAAAATCATGCTCCACATCAATTTACCTTCAGGTATTAAACTTTAACATCAGATATGAAATCTTTAGAAACCCATACTATAAGACATGAATAAAGGGATCGGGAGGATCTTGATGTAATTTAGCTTGTTGTCTGGTTCAGGCTATCTTGGCATATTTCATAGTGCATACATGACAGAGAAAGTACATTTATAAACCTGGGTGTGGTGGGTTGGAATGGAAAATGTCAATCGATATCTATTGGAACTATTTACTTTGTAGATACATATGATAAGCGTTGATCTCGAGTATGTTTTGTTTGAAGCAAAAGTGTAAATGTACCTTTACACTCAGGCATTCCGTTTTATGACGTTTTTGCAAATATTCGGTGGTGCAAATATATTCTAATTTGTAGAGGAAGTCCTTGTGAAACATAACAGGAGTCCATTCAAGTCATCAGATAGTGGCCACCTCACTTCTGTCGAAGCTCTGAGAGATCTGTCTACACACCCGCATATTTTGTCTATGTAGGCATATCGAATCGACCAGTTCCCTGTGTTCTACATCACTGAGGATTACAGTCAACAGAACTTCCAAAAGGTGCTTTATTATAGTGCAAAGAGCAAGGCCTGGTTTCAACCTCTTGAGCTCATGCAGTTTCTTATACAAGCTCTGGAAGCAGTTATCGCCCTTCATGAACATGGCGTTATACAAAGAGATCTTACAGCTGCCAGTTTTGCATACAACAAGGAAAGCAAGACTGTCAAGCTGTGCCGCTTCATGTTGGCGCGAAAATGTAGGCGAGAAGAAACTGTTGTTGGTATGTCTATACTCATAATGTGTTGGAATTTTCATTTTATGTCTGCTTGTTAGGCCAAATACAAAAATATTCTTGTTTCTCATTAGTTATTACAAAATATGGGTCGGGGGTGGGGAGTTGATGGGGGTAGTTTTACATTTGAGTACATTTATGTCCAAAACCCCTTGATTTCTGTGGAAATTTACACCTATTCTCCGATAGAAAATCAGAACTTAGAAGTGTGAAAAATTCATGCACATTTTGAGAGTCAAATTTGCATTTTCTCTAGTGTAAAAAAATAATAAAATCTTAGGGTCGGGTCGAATTTTTGGGTCGGGCGGTAATAAAGTTGAAGAATTTTTTTATATAATGCCTTACATGTAATGACTGACTTTCTTGTTAGACAGAGAATGTTCGTCCATTCCCATGAGATGGTCTGCCCCAGAGTCTCTCAAGCAACACCATTTCTCTATGCGGTCTGATTACTGGATACTACTGGATGTTTTGGGAAATCCATTACAGCGACAGTTAAGTATGATCAGTCGTCATTTTAAGATTCCCGTTGATTTCTGTCTTCAAACGTGATGTGTTATGGTAACAACTCAGGGGCGAGCTTGGCTAGACTGAATGAATGACAGGTTTATTCGAGGTGTATAAATTTTCTCACTAAAATGTTTTGCGCGAAAATAAAACCTGCGCGAAATATAATACGTTTACAGTAGGTGGACATCTCATCTACGAAATCATCACACACGGCTGCCTTCCCTACTCAGATCTCGGACGGCAAAATGTGTCCGCCATAGAAAACATGGTATATCTTACCGGACACCAATGTAAATGTAACAAAGAATGAGCATTTGGTGGTATTGTTTAATAATCTAAGCATCATGTACCACTGTTCCACAAGCGATATTGGTATCACATAAACCTCAACATCGAAAATATCCGGATGGTGTGTGAGTGTGTGTGTGTGTGTGTGTGTGTGTGTGTGTGTGTGTGTGTGTGTGTGTGTGTGTGTGTGTGTGTGTGTGTGTGAGAGTGTGTCTGTGTCTGTGTGTTGTGTTGTCGCAGGCTCAGAAAGTAGAGTTACATTGCTGCTCATGTTCCAGATAAAGGAAAACAGAAAGAAGTTATACCAAGAAAGATGCATCCCAACATCAGTGTTTGATGTCATCCAAAGCTGCACTACTTTTGATGACACACATCGGATGTCGGTGTGTGAAGCAAAAAGCAGACTGGAGGAGACCTACGATCGTTACGTCAGCTCCAACGGTAAACCAATATGTCTTCCGACAGTGTATGGTTTCCCTCTCTGTGAGGACAAATAGAATATCACAGTTTGATATTTAAAACTAGCATATAACTTACACATTATTTCACTATTCAAAACAATACAACATAAAAACGAGATATTGATTGCCAGCAAATAAAGGTAGATCACCATACTAGGGAACATGGGGACTTACAGTACTTTTGCTATCTGCATAGCCCCAAGCTGGATTTACATCATCCCTACAGCTATTGGCGATTTTAACAAATTTAGCCTGGAATTTAATGAACATATATTCTACGATTAAAAATGTGGTCGGGTTAAATATACTTTGAAAGATGTGGTCTTATCAGGAGGACAATAATTTTAAATACTTTAACCCCTTTGAAGATACAGCCACTAACAATCCCACAATCTACCAATTATAAAATACCATTGATCTGTTTACAAAACATATCATTCAAGAAATTTCTAACAATTTTATTTCTTTTAAAGAAAACTATTAAACGGTATTTAACATCATTAAAAATATCCTTCACTGTTTTCACACTGAAATATTGATCCCTTGTGATGTAAAAAATTAATATTGTCAAGCAGAACATGCTTGATCGTGATTATCCCATGATACCAAATGGAGCACCCTCATCTTTTAATATTTTCTCATGAGACAACGTTACTTGATGACGTCTTCCAATCTGGACGGGCGACCAAGTAGGTGCAACCGATATTTGGCTCTCTTTGATTTTATATAATTATATCTACTTAGGTGCCCCTTTTTTTTACTTGATTGGCAGTTTTGTAATCGGAGTATGGGAATAAGAAGTAGTGCCACAGATTTGTAGAGTGCTGCCTTAGCAACAGAATTGGTCACTGCGTTACCGGAGTTTCCAACATGGCTGGGTAACCAACAGAGAACAGAGTCGTATTTGCCAGTAGATTACATGTATATGTCAATCATTTCGATTAAAAGAGGATGTTTACAATATTTCGGTTTCTGTATGCTATGGTCATCGATATGAACACATATAACATTATCTGTCGTTTGTATTAATTCGTATGCAGTAAGACTTCAGCGCAAAGTGTTTAAAGAACAAATAAACTTTGTTTTTTTGTACTCTTTTAACTATTACATATGAAAGATTTGTGGTTCGACTTATGCGGAACACCAAATTCATTCTTAAAAAACTTGTGGTTAATTAATACCGAGCGATTAAAAGTTGCCAAAAAGTCGCCTGCTTCACTCTCGCCCGCCAACGAAACCACAGACAGGTTACGTAACTCTGTCGCCAGAGCACTACAGTGACGTCATATGAGGAACGATTTTCAGTTAGTTGTATAGAAAGTGTGTAGCACGCTCATCATTTTGATGAGTTCTCGACATCAACGACGACATGCAGAATCGTTGCTTTGTCGTCAATTGCTCCGAGGTGTCGGGCGATGGTGTCACCATGCACAGATTTCCGAAGGACCCCGCAGTTCGTGCTAAATGGGTTATGTTTGTGAGTGCGAAGCGAGCGTTGTGGAAGCCTGAAATGATATCTTACTTGTGTTCAGATTGCTTCACGGAAGTTAAGAATCAAAACTACTTACTAGTTGTAGTAAAATATGCATATGATTGATGACCATAAAGATTTTCCATGAAACAACTTGTAACATAACGATTACTTCCTCGGAAGCGAGGTTCTGGTCGAAGTAAAAATAATATTGTAAGTAGTATTATATTGACACCCACCTCGCTGCCACGAGAGAAATTGTTAGGTTATAAGCTATGTCATGCAAAATCCTATTGGCCATCAATCAAATACATATTTTACTACCAGTAGAAAGTAGTTTTGATTTTGTAACTCGGTGAAAACAAACCTAAATAGCATTTATCCTCAGACTGGCGGATGTTCGCGACAGGGCGCCGCCATTTTTGAAAATCGTAAAGTGACGGGCTAAAGTCTGTTAGAATTAATGAGATTATGGTTTATTTTCATCAAGTTAGAAAATCAAAACTACTTTCTACTTGTAGTTAAATATGTATTGAAATCATAACCAAAAGGATTTTGCATGACACAACTTATAACATAACGATGTCTTCCACAGAAGCGAGGAGGGGGTCGAAGTCACAAAACTGCGCGATACATTTCTTGCTATATACACATAGTTAACGTCCACTCACAAGTATGTAGATACTAGTCACTGTACGTCTTTATGTTTGGTCTTATAATCCTAATTAGTTGATTATCATACTTGTATGCATTTTGAAACTAAATGAAAAGCAGACGATCTGCTGATACTTATAGTGAATTTATAACAGAACTGTAAACAGTTTATAGTTTGCCAATGTGAATCATAATTCGCACACACACCCTAGCGTATGTTGTCTGTCTCATTACACTTCACGGCGAAAACAATGATTCTGTTGAATGCTACGACAAATGAATAAAAACAAAATGCAAATATTAAAATTAAAACAGATTAAAGTTATAGGAACAATGTCAGGCTATTAACTTGTTCGAGGAATGTATCCATCAATATCCACAAAACCGAGTGATATGCCATTCATCTGCAGCTGTTTCAAGTGATGTGTCTTTTAACAGTTTAATATACGAAAAAGTGATAAATTTTGTCAGGTATTTCACATTGGTGTATAGTCTCATTGGTCACCCAAGATAGCACACCTGGCAACTAATTGCATAATGTCCACCTTTCTTTAAAAACAGTAATTTAGTTAGCTAATAATGGGCAATCAATCAATGTATTGCCGGTTAATCCTTTGAAAGAAAGAAGTTGTTTTTACGCAGACACCGACACGACAGAGTGTATTCAGTATAGATTAGTAAATCTACATACATAAACACTACCTTTTGACAATTCCGCTGTATAAGATAAAAGTAATTAATCAATCAGCGTGTTATCTGTTAATCCTTTGATCGATGTTGAAAATGTTGAATATTTACTCCAGACACAAGAAATGCCAAATGGGAACCTTTGTCGCGTAATCAGAGTGTGTTACAACTAATTATGCCTGTTATAAATTCATTAACTGACCATCAAGTGAATGCTGACAAATAACGTGTAGGTTTATACCACATAACACGGGTTACAACAAGGGAGTACTAATTGCTGTATTGCATGTGAAAACTTATGGGCCGACTGTTTTGAGAATACAAACAGATTTTTACATGACATGATTAAATATCGAGGTAAAAATACACAGAAATGGGATCAATTTGGATCAGTCATTATACAAATAAGGCCTAACGACACCAAGCGATTTTGACAGAATCGTCTATGAAAACAAGTTGTAACTCGGAAACTAGGCAAAGCAGGAGACAAAATTAAATGACAGTAGATTGTGAGAACATATAGCTTTCATTTTCCACAATAGTTGTCACGATTTCAGGTTTATAAAAAAAAAATTGTCAACTCACCGGTATGAAGGTCAATATTAATAAGACTAAAGTTATTGTTTTCAGGAATAGCGGGCCCCTTAGACAGTATGAAAAGTGGTTTCTTAATGGGCAAAGGCTGGAAGTTGTCTCATACTACAGGTACTTGGGTATTGTGTTCACTCCTAGGCTAGTTTGGACTAAAGCTCACACTAATCTTGCTTCTCAAGCCAATAAAACCCTTATGGCTATCTATAGATATCAAAAAAGAGTAGGTCTTTTTAAAGTATTTGATGCTATTGTTAAACCTATTCTTTGTTACGGTTCAGAAATTTGGGGTGTTACCCATTGTAAAATCATTGAACAAATCCAGATAAAGACATGTAAATATTTCTTAAAAGTTGGTAAAAATACATGCAACAATATGGTTCTTGGTGAATGTGGCAGATTCCCTCTTCAACTTACTTATATGTCAAGGGCAGTTAAATATTGGTGTAGACTTTTAACTCTTCCAAGTTGTAGATTACCTCATCAGTTTTATTTAATGCTTAAGTCTTTGGATGAATCTGGACGGACGACATGGGCATCTCATATCAAGAATATTTTATTAAGATTTGGGTTTGGCTTTGCTTGGATTTCACAGGATATTGGAGATATTGATGGTTTCATTTCTGTTTTTAAGCAAAGATTGTCTGATAATCTTTCACAAGATTGGTACTCATCCCTACATAGTACAACCAAGTGTTCTAATTATATTCTTTTCAAGTCCCTCCTGAATGTTGAAACTTATCTCAGTTTAGGTATTGCCCCATATTTAAGAAATTGTTTAACAAAATTTAGATGC